GCATCCTTATCATTGCTCGTAGTCTCTTCCTTCGAGATAATGAAAAAGACAACGGGGATGATGGGATGAGGACTATAGAATTGAGACTGATGGCATGGAGGTGACTATCAACGAGAAGAATATAGGGATGAAATCATCTTTAAAAAAAATCTAAAAAGACGTTAAGATTTTTGAAAAATGATATGCTAATTAAGAATTTTTGAAATGAGAGGTGTTATTGTCTTGATATCGTTGATCGTGAAGTCGACACGGCTTTGTTTGGTTCCAAAGGCGCAAGCTCGTTCAAGGAGACCACGAGAGGTCATGAGAGGGGGTTGGAGTGGGAGGCAGATTTGGTTGGCACGATCTCAAGACGCTGCTTATTTGTGAGAGATAGATTTGGCATCATTTTAAGGTGTGCTTTAGCCTTGCCGAGGTCCCTCCACAAGCGGTTAACATCGAGAGATATTCTCGATTCAACCCCTATGATGGTAAAGTTAGTTGGGAGGTAGCAATAGTAGAGATGCTCCTTTCCCTTTGGGCTTTGGGGGTTAGTTTTTATACCCGAGTGATTGATATAGCGAGATTGATGGGTGGTGGGCACACCCTTTATGAAGGACGATTGCATGAGTGTCATTTTTCAGGGCTGAAGCCTGTTTGGGATAATCAAGGGATGATCCCTGGTGCCAAGAGTTCGAAAAGAGGGAAAAATGGAATTATGCTACGCCGCCTAAGATTAATGTCCTTTATAGTCGGGCATGCAAGCCTTCCTGAAATCATTGTTGATAGGGGGTGACACGTCACTTACGATAGATGACCCAAAAAAAGAGGGATGAACTTTATTGTCGTGGATTAATACACCATTCGACTGGCTCATGTGGGCCTCTCGGAGATTGAGGTGGGTAGGGGCTGAAGCATCATACTCTTGTGTCGACGATCACAAGAGAAGGGCGTGAGTTTTTCTGCTTATATCATTGCCTAGGTGATAGTCTTCGATTGGATGAATCGACGGTGTAATACTTACGTCGTTATTTTCTCTATCAATAAGTTTTTTCTGAAAAATTACTCATTTTCTTTGGTAGAGTTAACTGAGTTAGACACTGAGGATATTATTATTTTTAGTTTATTAAATGATATATAATTTTTTGATAAAAAATACACGTATTTGGAAGTATTGTACATAGTATTGGCTCGGATCGACTGTCGGGTTCGGATCAACAATGCGAGAACCGGACCCGCGTTTTTTATTTTGTCCCGTTTGTATTGCCCTATAAATTGTCCGCCACTTTTTTCCCCTTTATATCCTTTCCCGAGTTTCGAAAGCCGTCTCGAGTTCTTCGCTTGGAAACCCTATCCCTAGACTCCAGATCTTTCTCTCGTCGTCGACGGCCATGTCGCACTTCGGGAGATCGGGACCGCCGGACATCAAGGACACCTACTCCCTTCTCGTTCTCAACATCAGCTTCCGTAAGCACCTCCCATTTAATTCCCTCGCCATCTCTCTGCTTTTGATCTATATCTACTACTGACGTGTCCATTCTTGGATCGCTAGGAACCACGGCGGATGATCTCTTCCCACTCTTTGATCGGTACGGGAAAGTGGTTGACGTTTTCATTCCGAGGGACCGGAGGTGAGCGTTGTTTATCCTTTGTGGGATTTGCGAGTCTCTTTGCAATCGTTGATCATTTTGTTTATTGAGGATTTAAAGGACTGGGGAGTCGCGGGGGTTCGCTTTCGTGAGGTATAAGTATGCGGATGAGGCACAGAAGGCTGTTGATAGGCTTGACGGCAAGTTTCTCCTACTTAATTTCTTTCTTTCCTTTTTCTTATAAAGTGTGCTTGAGGATGATGTGAATTAAGGTTTGTTTTCTTAATATGTCAAAGCTGAAACTTCTTTTGATTTCTGCTTTAATCTTTTTTGATCTTTTAGGGAGGAACGTGGATGGACGAAATATTATGGTTCAGTTTGCAAAATATGGACCCAACGCTGAGCGCATGTAAGTTATTCTGCATTTGTCGTGATAAATCAAATTAGATGGTGTTAGCTAGCTTAGTTTCTTTGAATTCCGTCTTTGCCACTTACACTGTACAAGAAAAAGAAAGATAAATCAAATTAGATGGTTGGAACCCTTTGAATGCCGTGATTGCTTCTTTTTCACTATTTACCATCTTATTATATTCTATTTATTATCTTTAAAGCTCCAACTTCTTATTGTATTCTATTTATTATCTTTAAAGCTCCAACTCTGTAAAAGAGAGGCCTTTTTCTTAAATTTGGTTGTCTTCTGACCTATTAATCCGTTAAATATAGATCTGATCTTGGTACTGAGGCAGGTTGTCTTTTGTTTGAGTTATCTAACCTAATTACAGATTTGTTGGAGTGGGATGCATCATATATTTTGATCTTAATCTTTGTTTTCTTTTTTCCTTATGCTTTTCTTTCTTCTTTGGTTGTAATAATAGCATACTTACTAATGCATGTCTGGTTAATTGGTACATAACTATCTTGAGTGGTTTGAGAATATACACAATGCTATACGAAATAACAGTGACAGTGATTCAATTGCATTAGAAGTGCTTAGAACTTCGGATATTTTTTATTGTGTACTTTCGAGGAACTATGTTCAAAACCATTTTGTACTTTTTATGTTATTTCATTATTTGATCCCATCGACACAATATCTTTAAACTACAATAAAGATATTTTTCTGATCGTTTCTGATTTAAATGACTACATGATATCCAAAGGAGTTCAACCTGAGTCTCTTTAGCACTGCTTTTCTGTGACCTACCATAGTAGATGAGTTTATGCACTCAAGCTATAACCTTTCTCCTACGTTACTTAATTTTAGAAAAGTGTTTTGACTAAGGAGCCAGTTGAGTAGAGTTTGGGAAGCCTTGAGGCCTGTTCAGTTGTAGAGTATTGAACAATGTATATGTTAAGCCTTCTAGGATGGTTGCTTGAATATGCTTTTGGTTCTCTTAGGTAATTCATTATCTTGCACCATGAAAACCTAATTTGAGTATAGTTGCCACAGTTATGCTTTCTGGGTTTCTCGGTGCTTTAAGAGAAAGAGCATTATTACAAAGAATATGTGACTTATAGATCATGATGGCTATTATTAAGGTGGATATTGGAATGAGAGCACTGACTTGAATAGCTTGAGCCCAAAGTGCAACTTGTATAAATTGATGTTTTAAATGAAATAAGAAAATGTTCTTACAATAAACATTCGTTCTATTCTATGACTCTGCACATAGGTTTCACTTAAATTGAGATAGTTGAATGCCAAATTTGTGATATATATATATATATATATATATATATATATATATATATATATAT